AAACTGGGTTACTAGGGAGAAAAAGAGAAGAGAATATAAGTGTTTTATTGATAATCAAGAACCGTATTTATAAGGTTCAAAATGGAAGTTACAATTGGAATGAAATAGGCTTTCCAAACTAGATAAAACTTATTTATGCATAATAATAAGACTACATTATAATCAATATTTATCTTATAAATTTACAACATTCTACATTTTATAATTAATTCTATAATATCTATCTTATTGGAACCTTGTTTGGCAAAAAATTTGATGGGACAAAAATGCCAACATATAAAAAATGTTACAAATAATTTTGAGTAATAAAATACCATTTTGTTAAAATCTTGTCAAGAAAACTCAAGAGAAAACTTGATAGAAGGAAAAATAGTGTTTTCTCGCTTTTCACAATATGATGCAGTACATCATATGCAAAATTATTGTCGACAAATTTTTTCTTATTCCGATTCTATTTCTTTCGTAGTTTTATAATTTGTTATGTCAAAATACTCATAAAGAGTATACACAATCTTAATGGGACTATCTTTATTAATTACTCTATATACGTTAGGAGATTTTTATATTAGAATTGGATATCATCACACTTTGGGCGTACCATCAATATCATACTACTTAATTGTCCTCTTATCTCAAATTGCTTTATTAAATATCACACATTTGAGATAAGAGTTCAAATTACGTATTTCTTCTCAACATTCTTTACTTTTCATCTCAATGAAATGTGATGGATTAATTATACATATATTGCATTATCAAATAATTAGATGAAGAAATTAGACTATTACCATAAGCCAATTATAATCTCGAGAACTTGATGTTTGCATGATGCATAAATAACATTCTCTAAACAGAATTGGGAAATACTCTGTTATCAATTAAATTAATTGAAGGAGTTTAACAGATAATAGTATTAAATCATTTATCAACATCTTAAATAACATTTATTAAAAAATTCAGGTTTAGGGTATCTATCATTAACATGACACATCGTATTGATTGTATAATTTGAAAATTATACTCATAATTTGAGTAGAAGTTCACAAATTTTAGGTTGCAAGCTTCATACAATTATCTAGTATTTCATATTTGTATCAAATCTAGTCAAAATAATCAATGTCCTCATGACATTAATAAAATATTTTCCTTCAATAATAAACGTGAATTTAAAATAATATATTTTTCAAAACACGTGCTACTTTGATAGCACATTGTATTTTTTTTATTGCTCTTTCAAAAGAAATGTCAATATTCTTCTGAAATATTGAAGATTATAATTCATCTCTTTAGATCAATCAAATGTTATTATAATAAATTATATAAGGATTTACTCTTCAAAAGTAAAAATATAATTTATATTAGATCGTATTTAATTATGCTCTTTGGAAGCAAGAAAAATTTAACTAAAATATTTATCAATAGCAATAATATTATTTTAAAATATTAATAAGTTGTGCTCTTCAATAACACCAACAAATTATTATTTTAAAATATTAACTCTTAAAGATTATGTTTTCTTGTAGAATATTAATATTTGAAAAGCTGTGTTTCTTGAAAAGCAATAATGTGATAAATTATGAATTTATAGTTTATAAAAAATATTTAATCAAATTACATACATAAACATATTCAAGAATCATTATAAACATATTTTTTCATCACTCATAAAGCAAAGAATACATGCATGAAACCAATATAAAAAGGCCTAATAATTACTTAAATTAACCAATATAAAAAAATTATTATAATATATTTAATAGGGAGGCTTTAGTTAAAACTGTGCATATTTACTCTTAATTTTCAATATCACAAAACTAATTTTATCTAATATCAGAATGCTTGATCAAAAAAATAAAATTGATATTAAACGATAAAAAAATAAAAAAAAATTAAAATGTAAACAGGATGTGTACAGAAGCAGCCTTAATTAGTTTGGACTTTAGTAATGCATGATGAGGATTTCATAGATTGACCAAAATTGTATATATCACCATAAGAAACACCCAAATTCATTTGAATTTGATAAGGAGTACAAGCCAAGTATTGGACGTACGGTAGATATGCTACAAATTTCGGATATGGTTTTGCCCAAGAATTTGGGGGTGGATGCGTCGAATTTGAGGTGAAGAAAAAATAATGTGAATGTCATGGTCGTGATGGCAATTTACCGAATATGATTGGTGGCTGATGGAGTACGTCAAGCTTCTAAATATTTCACTTTGATTTTGATAAAATCATGTTGATGAAGTGTTGTAAACTAGGTTACTGGAGAGAAAAGAGAAGAGTATAAGATTCAAAACTCAAGTGTGTTTTATGGACAATCAAGAGATGGATCAAAATTAAAGTTACAATTGGAATGAAATAAACTTTCCAAATTAGATAAGACTTATCAATGCATAATGATAAGATTACATAATCATCAATATTTATCTTATAATTTTATAACATTTTAGAATAAATAGACGAAATAAATATTTATTATTACGAACGTTATATCGACGAAAAAGAGCAGTAGGCCTTAGCCCCACAACTGTTTTCATTCCGTACTTACGCCATTGCTATATTAAGCCCCCGTTTGAGCCACGTTATTGTAAAAATGAGAATGAAAAATATAGTCGTTATGAACTCCACACAAAAGATAAGAAGTCAAATATGGTGGCTTGATGATGAATAACGATAGGCCTAAAATTCTTGCGGCTGCTCAAATATGATAGGAAATTACATTCAAAGAAGGTTGGCTGTTTATTATTTCTTGTCTTGAATCTTTAAATTCCTTTTTATACACCGTGAAAGAATTTTCCTCCTCATGCTTTTATGACATATTATAAATTCTTGTCAAAATTAAATAATTTTTTATTCACCTAATTCGTGAAACTCAAATTACTACCAACCACTTCATCCACTTATTTTTATATGTATATAAACACCTGCCGAACATAATATTAAATTGTATTCGAGTAAGACTTTTGGTTTGCGATTTTTAAAATTATTTTACTTTTATCCATCTTTTAGTGTAAAATTGTTTGTATTTTATAAATGTTCAAAGTGTTCTTAAAATAAATTGATTGTGTTTTATAAATGTTCAAAGTGTTCTTAAAATAACGAGACATTGATCTCAATTATCTCATTCCACTTCAAACAAATCCAATGTCCAATGCATCCAAAATTAATAACTACATCCCAAATCTATTGTCAAGAGTCGATAATTTTTTTTATTTTTTTTTTCATAGTATATTCAAACCATAATTTTATCAATTTAATTAATTATGCAGTTTTAATAATATTCGAAATGTTTCTTAATGTTAATTTATTTTTATAAAACTTTCGTTTTAATATTTTTAGGGAATCTTTTCAAGCCCCAAATAAACATTTTAAAAATTCCTTTCTATGAAATTAGTAAAATAGAGAATGATAGAATATACAGATGCCAATCCATACTCTAGTCCATCCTCTACATTAGTATTCAAAAATGATCACCTGAAAGTAATCTTGCCATTCAAGTCACCCGTTCAGCTCTACTATAAATACAGGTATTTCTTTGGTACATTATCTGCATTATCAACTTGAGCTATATTCTCAGTAGTTTCAAAATAAATTCTTCTATCTTCTTCCATTTACCAGAAGATAATCAAATGACTCCGGCTCTCGCTGAAAGTGCTAGCAATTTATGCAAAAAGGAGATTGTTCATCCAGTTGCAAACTTCTCTCCCAACCTATTGGGTGAACAATTCATCAATTTTGATTTTGAAACTTACGTAGATATCGATCCCTTTTTTTCTTCATTTATTATAGAATCCCTTTTCCTTTTTTTAACTTACCAATGATTTAAGAAGTTAAATCACATTAGTAGTTCAAAAAATTCTTCATCTCATAGTCTCTCTCTTTACCAAGAATAGTAAAATTCTTATAGAAAACCACTTGATGCCCAATGTAGAAGTTATTTTGACTCCCATCTAAAGTTTGGATGGTGAAGACACAAACCAATAAAGGCTGTTATCATTAAATAACCAAAAGAATAGGCACCAGTTTGTGTGAGCAAATAATCATTAGATGATCATGGTAGACGGGGTATCAAATAAGTGAAAAAACCAATTACGTGGCTTAAAAGCGTTGGCTTGGCATCTATCGAGAAAGTAACTTCATGCTTTGGCTTAATGCATTATAATACAGTGTTAAACTTTAAGCAGATATTTTTATGAGATAATTTAAGTTAAGATCACTTATCAAATGGTTAAATAAATTACATGAGTTCCAACCAAAGTTTTCCTCCTATATTTATATCCAACCAACATAATGGGACAATTAAGATCAAAGAAAGAGTTAGCACCAACCCCAGATAAAATCGGACTGAGGATTTCATAGCAAAGAACTCATCCTACTTGGAAAAAGTACATTGGAACATAATATTTATCATAGTGCATCCTGGAAATAATTGGATGTAGAGTCTCTTTAATTTCTTATCTCTAGAAGATTAAAAGTTTCAAGAATAGTAAAATTCTTATAGAAAACCACTTGATGCCCAATGTAGAAGTTATTTTGACTCCCATCTAAAGTTTAGATGGTGAAAACACAAACCAATAAAGGCTGTTATCATTAAATAACCAAAAGAATGGGCACCAGTTTGTGTGAGCAAATAATCATTAGATGATCATGGTAGACGGGGTATCAAATAAGTGAAAAAACCAATTACATGACTTAAAAACGTTGGCTTGGCATCTATCGAGAAAGTAACTTCATGCTTTAGCTTAATGCATTATAATACAGTGTTAAACTTTAAGCAGATATTTTTATGAGATAATTTAAGTTAAGATCACATATCAAATGGTTAAATAAATTACATGAGTTCCAAGCAAAGTTTTCCTCCTATATTTATATCCAACCAACATAATGGGACAATTAAGATCAAAGAAAGAGTTAGCACCAACCCCAGATAAAATCGGACTGAGGATTTCATAGCAAAGAACTCATCCTACTTGGAAAAAGTACATTGGAACATAATATTTATCATAGTGCATCCTGGAAATAATTGGATGTAGAGTCTCTTTGATTTCTTATCTCTAGAAGATTAAAAGTTTTATATAGTAATTAAACCACTACCATACAACCATTAGGATCAGAAGTATAATCTCTTATATAGTGTATTCTTACCATTAAATCTGATGTAAATACTGGTAAAAATAGGAAGCTTATTACGCATATTGTGTTGAGTTTGATTTCCTTCGAATGCCTCAATTGAGGTTCCATGTATCCTTATATAGAAGAATTATAGCTATCTAATTATGGTAAATTACAATGAAATCTCCTATTCTTGGAAAGAGAAGTCCCATTTTAGGCCCCTTCGCTATCACCTGTCCCGACGCTTGATCCTACACACAACACCTGTCATGATCAAAATAAAGAGCACAATTATCATCCACCAATTAGCCAACAGAAATTAGATTGGCAGATAAATTAGGCAATAAAAAAATATCAGTAAAAGAACCCAAATTTTCAACTGCAATAATAGGAAGAGTACTACCATTGGTTATCTGGATAATTGCTTACCATCATACTTACAAACATTATGTAGAGCTCCCGAATTCCCAGTCGTGTTTGGAAGCCATAGAGTTTATTAAACAAGGAGAGGTGACTAGATTTTTTTACTTTGGAGACCAAGGGCCGAGAGAGTGAAATAATCATTTGTTGAACATGTTCGGGTGTGAGAGTTGAAGATCTTGGGCACCCAACTGATCTGAAGATGCAGTCACACGATTGGGTTGAACAGTAGTATGGAAAGCGGGAGCAGACCAATTCCGAGGTCACACACGATAGTCCTTCATAATATGGCCCTCCTTTTTGCAATAATTAAAGATTTTCTTCTTACAATATTTTGCAATGTGTCCAAATTCCTTGCAACTGTAACACTGTAGCGAATATTTGGATTTTCCTTTCCCTTGAGCTACATAGGCCACATTGACCATCTTAGTACCAACGGTGGCTTCACTGATCCCAAGTTGAGAAGCGAGGCGTTGTTCCTCACATAGGAGTTCTCCCAGGCAAACATCCAAGGATGGTACAATGTTGCGATTGATCAGTCCAGCGCGTGCACTTTCAAACTCAGGTCGTAGCTTCATCAAGGATTGATCCCTTTGGCTCTCAAAATGAATCTTTTGCAAAGTTGCTAATGCTTCTTTAGGAACCTTGGACCACACCAACCCAAAATAATCATTCCATAAATTAAGAAAACCTAAATGAAACTGTTCAATTGATAGATCTCCTTGTCAATAATTTCCAATATTCAACTACAAAAATCCGTCTAAGGGAATCGCACATCTCTTTAGCGGTCGTGGGCGAACGAAAATTGTTGACCATATATGGTTCAATGGAACTCAATAGCCAAGAAACAATTCGAGCATCCTTACTCTCCCATGAACTAAGCTCCCTGGAATCTATTGGAGCTTGAAACGATCCATCCATATGACCCCACAATTCCTTACCCTTAACAAGCATCTTGAACTAAAATTCTCAAGTGTAGTTTTGCCCATTAAAGCAGACAATTGAATTTTCTCCCAAACATGATAGCTCAAAATCTAATAATTATAGCCAACAGCCCAACTAAACTGAGCCAATTTCAATCCAATTAAATAACAGCCCACAGCCAAACGGAACAAATAAATTAACAACCCAATCAAATAATTAAATAGCCAATTAATTGACAGGCCCAATTCAAGAAAAAAAACCCAATCAAAACCAACAACCCAACAAAACATCCAATTCGAGGATAAGTCCAATCAAACCAACTGCCCAACAAAACACCAATTACTCACGACACCTACCAAAATTATTGTCACCATATCTCCGATATCCCTTCCGATCCCACCAAGGAATTCACTGAAGATCCCAAGAATTCGTCAATAACCAAACAAAATTCACTGAGAGCCTCAAGACTGGAGGCTCCGAGAAAAATGTCTCCAACACCCAAAAAAATAAAGATCGTCGACAGCCCAAGAACGTAACATCGAGGAGAAATCACCGGAGAGATCTAACAAAACCTGCTTGGTGAAGTTTTTCATCCAAGTTAGTACCCAAAACCTAACAAAATCCTTTTTTCGCCTTTCATTCTACATTCAGTATCACAGAATTCCAATTTTTTACATTTTCAACATTGCATCAAGAGCAAACATATCCAAACAGCATTCTTCTTAGACCCTGTTTGATGGTCATTATTTGGGAAAATAATGTTTTGAATAATTATTTTTAGAAGAATGTGAGGTTAAAAATAAGAAAAAGCTGAGTTTACATGCAAAATATTTTATCGTGTAAATGTGTAGTTAAAAATGAATATAATGATTATCAAACAGGGGCTTAATTGTATATTTTAACAGGCTTTTCAAACGTGCATTAGTTCTATAATTATCAGCAAAACAAAAGTAACGGATTAGAAAACATGGTCCAGGAAATAAACATTCTTACTTCAAGAAACCTAAAAACCTTTATAGATAAAATAAAAAGGTGGAAACAGACTTCAAATTTGAATATACTTCATATAAATTAGACGAAAATTCCTAATTACCACTTGATTCTGAGCACTCTCCTTCGTGAAATGGTAAAAATGAATTAAAGGGTCATTTGGACAGAGGTTCTTCTCTTCTAGAATAAGGTAAAAATGAATTAAGCGGTCATATTAAAAAAGGACAAACATCTAAGAAAGGACAAACAGAAACAATTTCCAAAATAATACACAAATATGTTGCTAAGCTAAGCATAAAGAGCAATTATGAAACTTTGAACACAAAGGTTTTAAATTAAAGATAAAACTGTATGTGCATGAAACAATGGACCAGGCAATAAGTGCAAGGAGATTTTAAAAGCAGAAGAGCTCACTTCTTCAGCCCACTATCCAGTATCATTTATATTCTCAATCTTCTCATTGAGAGGAAAGATCTTCACAAATTGAGAAACAGAACAATTTTACACCACGTAATGGAATACTGGTTTCAATAAAAGATTGCAATCCGTTCAATAATAAAAAATGTGGCTGAGGATGACAATTTAGCGGTCCATAAACAAACAAATAAATGGAAAAAATATCATCATTGGATTTACAACTGACAAGCTCGTAGTGGACACATACAATTATGCCATCCTAACTTATAGCTTCAATTTTCCTACGCATTGACACCTTAATACCTTCTTTTATCAAAGAAACACCAGAATTTCACATTCAAATGATCAAAGATCATTTTTTTTTCCTTTTCTTTTTTCCTCCAGAAGCCCAAAACCCAAAAGCTTAATTTATAGCTACAACTTTCCTATACATTGACAAAAAATTTGATTGACATAGTTGAACATCAAAGACCAATAGACCACTTCCCATTTTAGAGTGATTAGCATTACGCAGATGAATGCAAAACTTCACGAAATCAAATCAAGCAGAATCATTAAGTGAAATCAGTCAACTCTTACAGACTTATTTTGAGGAAGTAGACCTTGAGGAGGAATAAAGAAAACTTGGCATCACTGTGAAACATGAAGCCAAAATGCTTCTCAAGTTAGATTTTCCATTTTCCTTGAGCTTTTCTCCTATGCCCAGCTGCGCCAGGAAAAGAATAGAAGAAGGATCTGAACTTGGCTCGGGGGACGTACGATAGAATTCACAAACTAATATCTAAATTGGGGATTGTACTATTTATTTCATCATTGATTATACAATAAGAGGGTTTACAATTTATAGTGTACAAGAGTTGGCAAATAAGGAAAAAAATCTACTCTCCTAAAATAAGAAAGAAATCAATACTTATTCTACATCACACCAATTATGGAATGTAAATATTCTACAATCAATTTGGTTCCTATCTTTATTTGATAGGATCCGGTTTCCACACTCCCCCTCAAGTTGGATCGTAGATGTTAATCATGTCCAACTTGCATATGAAATCGTTGAAGGTTGGACGAGATAGTCCCTTAGTAAAGATATCTGCAACTTGCTCTTGTGTTGGAACATAAGTCGTGCAAATTGTTCCTTCCTCAACTTTCTCCTTTATAAAGTGTATGTCAACTTCTATATGTTTAATACGATCATGTTGGACTGAATTAAGTGAGATATTGATTGCTGCCTTGTTATCACAAAACATTTTGATGAGAAATTTTGTTTTAACATGCAATTCTTCTAGGAGTTTTCTCAACCACAGCCCTTCACATATTCCTTGTGCTACAGCCCTGAATTCAGCTTCAGCGCTACTTCTGGCAACTACATTTTGTTTCTTACTCCTCCAAGTTACAAGATTTCCCCACACATAGGTACAATAGCTAGCAGTTGATCTTGTGTCTTCTATTGAACCTATCCAATCTGCATCTGTAAAGATTTCAATCTCCCTTTTTTCACTTTTCTTAAAAGACAGTCCCCTTCCTGGGGTTCCCTTGAGGTATCTTAGTATCTTATAGACTACTTCCAGGTGACTTTCCTTTGGTAAGTGCATATGTTGACTTACACGGCTCACTGCAAATGCAATATCAGGTCTAGTGTGTGATAAGTATATTAACTTTCCAACCAGTCTTTGGTATCCATCTCTTTCCACTTCCTTTCCATTCTCTTCAGGTCTTTTTCTTGCTTCGATAGGTGTATCACTCTATTTACAACCTAGCATCCTTGTTTCTGTTAGGAGATCAATGACATACTTTCGTTGTGAAACACTAATTCCACCCTTTGATCTCGCCACCTCCATTCCCAAGAAGTATCGCATTTGTCCCGGATCCTTCACCTCGAATTTGGTGGCAAGGCATTTCTTTAGTCTTTCAGTTTCAACTACATTGTCTCTTGTTAGAACAATATCATCAACATATACAATTGAGATCGTTTTGGTTCCATTGTCGTAGTATGATCTGATTGCCCTTGTCGATATCCATGACCTTTTAACACCTTTGCGAATCTGTCAAACCATGTCCTTGGTGACTGTTTTAGTCCATATAGAGACTTCTTGAGTTTGCACACTTTATTTTCTTCATCAGCTCTACTGAACCCAGGCGGTAAAGTCACGAAAACTTCCTCTTCTAATTCTCCGTTCAAGAAAGCATTTTTAATGTCAAGGACAGGACCCGGATTGTATTCAATTTTGCTACCGATGCAAACGTTTCTGTGTATTTAATGCCATATGTTTGTGTGTATCCTTTTGCAACTAAACGAGCTTTGTACCATTCTATTGTCCCATCAGCTTTGTATTTCAAATTGAAGATCCATTTGCACCCAACTGGTCTCTTTCCTTTCGGTAGGTCTAATACCTCCCAAGTCTCATTTTTCTCTAATGCCCTCATCTCCTCCAATACTGCTTCCCTCCATTTAGAACTTCCCAAGGTTCTCCAATATCTTTCAGGATCTCTATGCTATCAAGATGAGATGTAAAAGCATGAAATCTAGTAGATAAAGCATTATATGACATGAATTTTGAAATAGGATGAAGAGTACATAACCGAGTAGATTTTCTGAGAGCAATGGGTAAGTCAAGAATATCTTAAGCTTCTTGAGGAGCCACCATCGGTTCTGATTCTTCTGGTGCTTCGGATGTGATGGTTTCTTTGTACTTTGATTTTGGCTTTCGCGAGTAAACCAACAAGTCTTCATTACTTTATTTTTCTATATCTCCCCCTGGCTGTAAGTTGTTCTCTGTTAATGGCATACTAGATGGTGGTATAGGGTTGTTGGTAAATGTAGGTTCGGGAGAAATGAGGTCAATGTCTAGGAACCGATCTTCATGCAATGTCTCCTCCTGAAGAGAGGTTTTTTTGAAATACGGGGTCGTTTCAAAGAAGGTGACATCAAGACTTGCAAATGTTTTTTTTGTGGAAGGATCATAGCATTTGTAGCCCTTTTGAGTAGAGGAATAACCGATCAGAACACATTTAACAGCTCGAGGATCCATTTTACCTCAGCGATGAGAATGAATACGAACGAAGGCCGTACATCCAAACACCCATAAGGGTAGGTTGGAGTTGAGGCGAGAGGTAGGAAACAGTATTTGAAGTTTTTTTAGGGGAGATTCGAAATTTAAGTTACGACTCGGCATTCTGTTCATTAAGTAGGTTGATGTCAGAATTGCATCCCCCAGAACATTTTTGGCATATTAGAAGTGAACATCAATGCTCGAGCAACTTCTAGAATGTGTATATTTTTGCGTTCGGTGATCCCATTCTGTTGGGGAGAATCAATGCAAGAGCTTTGATGAATTATTCCATGTAATTGGAGAAAATTACCCAGGGTGCTATTGATGTATTTGGTGCCATTATCCATACGTAAAATTTGAATCTGTTTTAAATTGTGTTTGGATCATGGAGTAAAAGTTGATGAATATAGAGTAAACATCTGATTTATCTTTTAGTAGCTATACCCAGCAAATTCGGGTGTGATCGTCAATGAACATCACAAACCACTTTGCATGAGTTCGATTCGGAATTCGTGAAGGACCCCATAAGTCACTATGTATCACAGTAAATGGCTTGGATGGTTTGTATGTGGAGGTTGGGAATGATGTACTTTGATGTTTTGCAAACTCACATATTTCGCACTGAATATCAATGGATTTTTATTCATAAAAATTGATGGGAGTACACGCTTTAGATACTGAAAGTTAAGATGACCCATTCTAAAATACCATAACAAAATATCACTATTGCTAAAAACAGATGTAGAATTACAAATAGTAAATTAACTTTGTTTACCCACATCAACATTGTCAAAGTAGTAGAGTCCGTCACTTTTTTTTTAACACTGTCAATCGTCTTCCCCGATGATAGGTCCTGAAAAACACAGTAAGATGGAAAAAATTTAGCAGAACAATTTGAGGTTTTTGTCAATTGGCTTAAGAAAAGTAAATTACACGACAGCTTTGAAACGTGAAGAACAAATTCTAGAGTTATAGAGTCAGAAATTTTTATACTCCCTTTCCCTGCCACCGATGACAGTGAACGATCTGCGATTTTAACTTTCAGATTTCCAGCACAGGTGGAGTATATAGTGAACAGATGGTAGGAATCCGTCATATGGTCTGAAGCTCCCAAGTCAATAATCCAAGGAATTTTAGATTTAGACTGTAAAGCGCTCAAAAAATTACCTCTTTGGGCTAATGTGCGTTTAACTTGATGATTGGAGGCTAGAAAACACTTTGTATAGTTGCTCCATTTGTTCAGCATTGAATGCACCGCTCGACTCGGTCTTTCCCGTTTGGTAATCAACAGATTCTTGATACCCACGATTTTTATTATTTTGTCTTGGTTTCCAATCACTTGATTTCCCGTGTAAATCCCAACAAGTATCCTCTTTATGTCCTGGCTTTCGACAATGCTCACACCACGGCCGACCTCCTTGTTTTGGGCCTGGCCAGATGTGCCTCCCTTAGAATATAAACCCATCATCCAAGTTCCATCATTTAAGTTATTTGGTCCAATATTCAAGCCCATTCCACTGTTCAAATCAGCCGGCCCATTATTGCCATTAGTTGGCCCAACAATAGGCCTATTACCGTCTCTATTTTTCAACCCATATCCAAATGGCCCAAGTTTGTTGGAGGTTAGTCCTAACACTTCCACCACCGGCGCACTGTACTCGTTCAACATGACCTTCCGCCGGTCTTCTTCTCTTCTCACCTCCAAAAACACTTCCCGCAGCGAGGGAAGGGGACGCCAGCCAAGTATTCGACAGCGAACATCATCTAGATCGCGATGAAGTCCAGCGAGAAACTTTAACACCCTTTCAGTTTCTATTTTCTTTATATACCGCACGCTATCTTCTGCACACTTCCATTCTTCCTCAGTACTCGTGTAGTTCTTGCCATAATCCGGTCATTTCCAGGGAATAACCTGTCACATCTCGATTTCCTTGCTTTGTTTGCCATAGCTTCGACTGGATTTCAAAAATTCTGGAAAAATTCTCGGAGTCGGAATACATTTCTTTAATTGCTTCCCAAACCTCTTTTGCAGTTGGGAGAAATAAATATGTTTTTCCGATTTTCGGCTTCATGGAATTGACAAGCCAGGCAATCACCATGAGTTCTCCGACTTCCACTTCTAAAGGAGAGCCACGTTGGTTGAGGCCGGCACCTTGGTTTCTCCGGTTAAGTATCCAAGTTTCCCTTTTCCGTCGATTATTAGCTTTATCGACTGTGCCCATTCTCTGTAGTTCTTCCCATTCAGTTTCTCAATTGAGAGTTGGAAGGCCGAGTTTTCAATTCACCGTGTTCATGGCAAACGTGGCTTCTACATCTAAGTCAGAAGTCATGGAGCTCCTGTCGTGAGGAGCTGATTCGGCCATGTATTGACTGGGTTAAAACCAACCTGGCTCTGATACCATAATGAAATATGAATTGTACTGTTTATTTCATCATTGATTATACGATGAGAGGGTTTACAATTTATAGTGTACAAGAGTTGGCAAATAAGGAAAAAATCTACTCTCCTAAAATAAGAAAGAAATCAATACTTATTCTACATCACACCAATTATGGAATGTAAATATTCTACAATCAATTTGGTTTCTATCTTTATTTGATAGGATCCGGTTTCCACAAAAGCACTTCCCACAAGCTGGTTATTTTGAAACATCCCTCTATAGAAAACCTTCGGAGCTTTCTCTCCACTCCGAAATAATCAAATGGCTGCTGATCTCATTTGTTGAAGCACACAGCTCCACAAGGCCAAATTCTAGGAACGCAGGCACCAAATCTTGATCTCTTTGGTTCCCAATTGCGTCATCAACATTCAACAGTTGACCAAAACATCAAAAGAGAAACTCCTACATCTCCTATGCCAATCAGAGTCGGTGGCGGACGCAGATATTTTGAATTAGAGGGGCACTATTTGTCTGGGTTGGAGATGAGGAATAGGTCCGACTTAATTCGTAAGCCGTGTTGAGTTTAAATCATAAATAAAGTTATTTAATTATCAAAAATAATTCACAATTTAATTGGATAACATAAGACCACCAAAAGACTACTTCGATTAATTTACTCAAGCAAGCACCTTGGCCTACCACAAAAATACACTCACACCTCACCTATATTTTCCCCCTCATTCTCTCTTACACACTTCTCCTTGCTTCCCTGCGTCTTCCATTTCACACTTTTTCTTCCATACTCACACAATACATACAACTACTATATTTATAGATAACAATGACAGTGGGCTGCACTTCTACAAGGTTCTCATGTGGCGATGGATTAAGAACAGTAAACTTCTGGATAATTTCATTAGGGCAGCAATTCTTTATGAAATTGGATTCTTCTTCTTTATTTTCTTCACAATCTTCTATGAATGGCAGAAAATATAGAAGCCATCTAGGACATTCACCTGGAAGACAATGAACAATTTTGTGTTCAAGTCAATGATATCTTCTTCGGCTGGATGGTTTTAACTTGTGCAGCAGGTTTTTCCAAGGTTTCTTCAAACTGATATTACAAAACTTTGTCAACAGTGGCGTCTCTGTCTGCCCCTAAATGCCTAATGCTAAATCTGATTTTGTGATTCAAGAAAAAAAGAACTTAAAAGTTGGTGGGTCACGTGACCCTTCAGGACCTAGTGGTTAGAGTCAACAAAAGACCTGCAAGCAAGAGTTAAGTCTTTAACTTTTATTGGCTTATAATAAATGCCTAGCATTTATCTATTATACCAAAAGTTTAGTCATAAAATCATGTTTATGTAATATGATGAGAAACAAAATGCTAAGTTAATTAAGTGGTTAAATGGAAAACCTGTAAGTCCACCAGGAGTTTTTGAGTAAATAGGGAGAAGTATGAGATCAATCTACATTTTATTAAAAATAATAATAACTAAATTGTTCTCCCCTAGCATTAAGCAAGAAAAATAGAGTAGAAACGGGAGCTTATGAGGATGATACCTTCGATAATTTGATTTTATGCTCAGTATAGATGCGTTGCAATCCCTGGAATAAATGTAATATAGTTATATATAAATCTAAAAATTCCAAATAAATTTTATGAGAAATCCTAAATCTGAATAAAGAATTATTTTCATATTTATCCCATGAATGAACTTTGATTATGTGTGATTATTTGGCCCAGAAACATTACTATAAACTTCAGCTTCAATTGCACCCACTATATTGTCTTTTGTTAATGATGTACCAATGGAAAGAGATCCTTCCCACTCTATTATCCTACATTTTTTTTATTCCTTTTGGGTGAAAAGGAAAGTGTATTCTTACGTTTAATCTGAATGTCTGATGTATACATACATATTTTGGAGGCATTGATTTTCCTTCCCTCTTTTTCCATATTCCTGATTTTTGGGCCTTTCTGTTTGTGTTTCTAATTTCAGGGATTTTATGTTATTTTATTATTATTATTATTATTATTATTATTATTATTATTGGGGGGGGGGAGTGGGGGGGATCTTTGCAGTTACAGAAAACCCTTTATTGAATATTCTTGCAGTGCCTCGTCAACAAGTTTAAAATATGAAAAATTTCACATGCATCTTACAAAGTGAAGAGCTATAACCAAGTAATGTTTATTTCTCCAGCATTAAATCGATGGTGATGAATCCAAGAATGTGCAAGATAAACACAAAATTATATCTTATAAACCAAATCTATAAAATAACTATTGACAAAATTATATCAATCAATAAAAAATATGACTCCGAATTCCAGAAAAATACAATGCATTTCAGATTCAACCAAAACTCAAACCTCAGAATAGCAAAATAAAAAGGAAACGTACAAAAAATAGTGAAACCTGATGCTAGAGGGTGTTCGGGAGACGCCTGGCTGGAGCTCAACAAAAAGTCTAAGGAAGCCATTGAAGCGATCGAAGGTGATATGTGAGACATGGCAGACAAAGGAAGGCAACCAAATTGCTCATGCACAAAGCCAAATGCACATTATGTTGGGAAATAAAACAGCTGAAAGTAATATATATGACACGATATGAAATATATTGTAATGCCCCAACCCCTTGTAGACCGGAACGCTACTTACTTTACTTAACTAACCGATGGTTTAGTCATAGGAGAATATGTTTTAGCGAAAACTTAATTTTAACAACCTCCTTTCGAATACTTTAAATAAAATACTGAATAAAAAAAATAACGGAACGTAATTTATTTGAAGAAAACACAACTTGTTCTCGCGTTCAGCGTTATTCAAATACTTTAAAAAAATAACATTGAAAACGTTCACAAAAATAAATCTAAATAACTGGTTCACCGGGTTTTTCCATGGGCTCGTTGTACCACTCTCCATCTTTTCCATCATCCAGGCCTAAGGTAGAATCATATCAATCTGTAGAGAAGGGGTTAAACCCGTTAGTTAAAAAAACTCAATAGATATCATTGGTGCATTCGTGATCAAGCTATACATTTCAAAGCTGTAACTTTAGAAACCTTTTCATAGTAGGATTTTCGGTAGAATCCGAAACACGTAGAGTCATGACTTAACACGACGTCTTGATCGGAAGTACATGCCGTACCCGGAGGTACCATTAAACATACAAACATTAACATAAATCTTCATTTGCTATAAACTTATAACTTAACACGAATTAACACTTTACAACTCTACCTACCTTGATTGATGCTTTGAACCTTGTTAAAAAATGCACTCCTTTGATGTTTCAAAAAAAAAAAACCCCCGTTAAGAATTGATGCTTGAAAAATACTTCTTGATAGCACCAAAACTTCTAGGAAAATCTAATTTTCCTCCCTCTCCTTTCTCTTTTTTCTAGACTTGAAAACTCTCTTTTTTATGCTTAGAAGCTTTTGTCTTGATGTAAAAAATGTATATGCATTGGGGCCTATTTATAGGTGAAAATCTCACAACTTAAGGGCAAGTGAAGGGCCTAATACTCATTAATACGTGTGCCATTTATGTGGGAGTTATAGGTTTAAGAAGTTGCTAGAAAATCGTGTAGGAATTTGACTTTTTATATTCCGCGTACTTCGATTGATACTGTACAGCCTTTAGTATTTCTATCATAACTTCCTCTCCCGATATCCGATTGAGGTAATTCAAAGTGCGTTGGAAAACTAACCAAAGAGCTACAACTTTTCTTTAGATATCATTTTCAAAATCAAATGTTTTCTATGTCGTAAATGGGTCTCAAATGAGACTAAAAATCTGAAATATACTTTAGCCATCCAATATTCATGTCTTAGTGCCACTAAGGTGTTTAAAATTATTTGGGGTTCTACATAGATGATATTAAACAAACAAGATGATTAAAGGCAAAAAAATAATTGACAGAGAAATCGAATTTTTTATTCAATTGAAGAATATGGAGAAAACAAAATATAATAACAGTACCAAGTCGATTATTCTATATTTCAATAATACAAAACTTGTGAAAACAGTCTAGTATTTATAGGGTGCATGACAAATCCTAAAAATACCACAAAGATGGAAACATGATAAAAAAAATAATGAGAAATAAAGGAAACAATATTTTTTCAAATATAAATGCGTGGAATAAATGAAATAATATTTTTCCAATAAAAACGCGTGTAATAAAGGAAAAAATATTTTCCCCAAAAAAATCCTAACCTAATTTGGGTCAAAAAATCCAACAATCTCCACCTTGACACAAATTCCGATGCAACGAACGAAACTAAAAAATTTCTCCATCTTGAAAAATATATCCGACAGCAACGAAAAATCCGAAATCTTCAACAAGAACCAAACTTTCTCTAAAACAAAAATACTCATCCTCTTCCGCGGTATCCAATACAGATAAATAAACCCGTACACAAGGTTTTCCAAAATTCACAAAGAATTAGAAATTACCAAAAAGTGTTAAAGTACACAGTGCAGCAGAATCAATTCTCAATGCTTTCATAAAAGGCCCCTAGAGAGTCTCAACACCATCAAAAATGCTAAAAGCATGTGCAATCGAATCAACATCCATATACCTATCTCCAATGGGTCTATCTCTAGCAACTGAATACGATGATACCGCATGTGATGGTAAAATTACTCATATTCTCTAAACTTGACTAAATAATATTCTTCGATATGGACTCCAAACAAAATTCCAAAGGTACAATACCAAATTGAATCTCCACCATAGTTCTAAATATATGCCGACTTTTCTTCACAAATTACGTCCGACCTTGCAAGATGTATAACTCGAACCTTTTTCGTCCCTTCAATACAACACGAATACCCTTTTAAACCCTCAAGACTCCACCTCCTTCAGAGAATGTGTATCCTCTTGAATCAAGAGTACTCAACAAAATGAGATTCTTCTACAAGTCTGGAATATGTCAAAAGTGATCAATTGTTTTACATGTTCCATTCACGAGTTTCAATCTGAATCTACTAATACCAGCTACCCGACAAGATTCGTTGTTATCCATGACACCTTGATTCACCATTTCATACGTTTCAAACAAATCCCGATTGGAACACATGAAACACACAAGCTGTATCTAAAATTCACCCCTCGTCAGGTTTGAATTTCATGTCAAAAATCGTCAAAACATCTTCATAACTCAAATAATTCCCAACTATGTTGGTCTCATCTGAAGTATTTGATTGCTTCCCATGATTTTCAGTCAAATTACTTTTGTTCTGCAATTTGTTGCAATTCCTCTTAATGTGTCATTTTTTTTTTGCAATAATAACAAACCTAAATACTGAAATTTGACCTCGACTTACCACTTCTCCGATCTGATCAGAACTACAAGGCCTTCTCCATCGTTCGCCTTAGATCTAACCAAATGCTTCATCTTCTCTTTTGAAAACAAGGCATCTTACGCATCATCAATGGTGAGTGCCACGACTATGCAAGATCGTGTCTCTAAACAAAGTAAATGAAGCGGGCAATAAACACAAAAGGATTAAAGCCAAATCTTTTTCATCATACTTTACCTCTAAAGTCTCCAAATCAGCGCGATCTCCTTGAATACAGCCAAATGATCTTTAAAAAATCTGCCTTCTGCCATGCGATAAGCATATAGCCTCTGCTTTAGATGCAGACTTTTAGTCATACGCAATTGCTCCAACTTTGACCACAATGCAACTGCTGTTTTCTTCTTCAAAACATCATAAAGAATATTATTAAAAAGATGAAGATGGATTTGTGAGAGTGCATTCCAATCCTTCTATTGTTTCCCTCCATCGTCCAAGTTGTGGGCATTTTGTCAAATCCCAACAATGTATCATCCAAATCCATCTACGCAAGTATATTGTGATCCAAGTGCGAAATTTTACACTTCATGGTTGCCGTCAATAACAAAAACCTCAATTACAATCAATAGCTCTGATACCACTTGTTGGGAAATAAAATGGATAGAGGTAATATATATGACACAATCTGAAATATATGATCGCAAACAAACAAGAGAATTAAAGACAAAGAATAAGAGGAATTGAGTATTTTATTCAATTGACAAATATGGAGAAAACAAATACAATAACTATGCCTACATATTTATTCTATATTTCAATAATACAAAACTTGTGAAAATAGTAGTATTTATAAGGTGCATGCCAAACCCTAAAAATACCATAAAGATGAAGACATAATAAAAAATAATGTGGAATAAAGAAAACAATATTTTTTTTTCAATAAAAACATGTGGAATAAAGGAAATAATATTTATCCAATAAAAACGCGTGTAGTAAAGGAAAAATATTTTCCCCAAAAAAATCCTAACCTAATTTGGATAAAAAAAATCCAACACATTAGACAAACAAAAAACAAAGTTTGTTTCGAATTTTAGAGAGGAAAAAGCAAACAAAGTAGCACAAAAAAATAAATCTTGCAAATCTGGAATACACAATAATTTCCTACGATATTTGAGGCGAAGTATGACGTCTTTATTTAATTGTTCAAGAATTTTAATATAACTAATTCAAAACACCATATTCGGCTAAGGCCTCGTGTGCTTTTTCATGGAAATCACATGTGTAATAATAAATATTTATTTCGTTTTTTTATTGTAAAATTATATTTGAGGCGTTTGTTTTCCATTTTGTAATTGTACTAATTATATTTTTAATGTTATCTAATATTAATTTTCATGTACTTGTTCCCATACAAAAACATACTTTTCCAAATCAGAAGACTATGTTAGTAGTGTATGATACAATAACAAACATGAGCGGAATAATCCACTATTGAAAAGTTAAAATTCATTTGCCCAACTGAAAAAATCATTTTAACTTTCAAAGATTAACATTAAATTCAAGAAAGTCACGTGCTTGCATGAATGTGAAATGACGTATAAATGGCTGTTGCAGCCAAAATCCATCAACCACTCATCTTGAAAAAATAATTCGAAGAATAGTATAAAGTCATACTTGGACTGAGCTGACAAGTCTTATTTGGACTGATTTAATACCTTATTTGGATTATATTTATCTCCTTCCCTGACAACAGCAGCAATTTTTGTCACCTTACGTGGAAGATGCTATATCGACCATCAATCACGAGTCCCAAGCTCAGGGACGCATTGTTCAGCAATGTCGAAGCAGGCAGGCAGGCAGCCAACATAGAGATAGAATCTGTAAAGGTTTCAAATGAGTTATTACACTCAACAAGTCGAGTGACTACCACAATGATAAATTGAGGCTACACTAAAGGCGCAATGGAGGGGTTTCACAATATGTCGAATCAAGTAGAAGACAATAATCCAAAAGCATTTTACGTAAAATCTTAAGAATACAATAATGATGACAAGCACAATTCCCGTAACAATAATGAGAACTCCAAAAACCTCGACCAGTATTTGTATAACCATAGGGATGCTGACCACAAAGTACAAGAAGATATCATGACGCCTTCTACAGAAGGATTGCATGCATCCCATCAAGTTCAATCATAAAATTTAGACAGCACTCGATAGTGTTAATGAAGATTTCTTCCAAACACAAAAACGAAAATTTAACCAATGCAATTGCAAAAAATATAATTCTGACCAAAATAAATGCAATAATGGACTTAGCTTAGCCACCCACTGTCACTGAATTGTCGCCACTTATGGAAACAACCAAGAAAAAATTGCGATATCACTATAACTGTTATCATTAAATAGTACCAGACTTAAAATCCTCCAGGAAAAGGAAGGTTGTATCGATTTAAACCACCCACAATGTCTGAACCCGCAAGAAACAGAACCTAAAACAAAAACAGATTGAAACAAAAAGAACGGTACCAAAACTTAGTTATAGCAGGAGGAGGAAATATGAACAGACAGAAGACAAGAAGAATCCCATTTAGCTATTAGCACGGACGAAGAAGAACAAAAAAATATGTTGTCAATCTTGAAAAATTAAATAAATAAGTAGATAAACTATAGTTTCTGTGTCCTTCCACCAATGCTTTCCAAACAAGTACCTAGTTTAGAAGACGAATGGAGTTACTTAAATCATTACTCATAAATTGCACAAAACACAAAAGTTCTTTTGGAAATTAATACATAGTCAATATACCTATCTAATGTGTCAAAGAGGTAGAACATATAATAACTAAAGAAGCGACATATTCCAACGGAATAGTAACACTTCCTGGAAGGATCCTTTCATGTTTCCATCAATCCTTAAAATCTTGCATTATAAAGTACAAATTAGAAAATGAGGGGGAAAAAAATAACATAAAACAAGAGAGGTTGTGTGAAATCTGCCTCCATGAGAGCTTAATACTACATGCCAAGCTGTTACCGTTGAAAAGAGAAGATTTGACATGCAAATATCTCCTTATACTAGACATGACTTATATCATCGAGACAACATTCCCAAAAAACAAAAGGCTTGTCAGATGAACATGGAGCCGTTTAATTAACTGCAGGAGCCAAAACCTGACCAAATCTCAAAAGGATAACAAGCCACTCCAATCAAGCTCTTCAATTGAAAGGAGGATATCCTTTGCGAAACTATCAGCAAACTCATTTTTGCTATGACTCACTAACAAACTAACAGAATAAGTAAAGAGTAAGTAATGTCAGCATTCAAATAAGCAAACTCAAGCTCATCGATCGAGTATAGCTAACGGCATCCTAAGAATACCATGTATAATTAAGGGCTAATCCATCTACATGTCAATATGTCCCTAGAATGTAAGTCCTGCAAGAAATTAACCAAGTTCCTTGTATCTCATATGTGCAGATCTTGTCACGTGAAGGAAATTGAAACATTTTTCCCCCTCAACTCCCCAAGAAGCAGAAAAAATAACTAGTACTATTAGCATAACACGGCAGCCTACAAGAAGTTCATGCACAAAAAAAAATGAAGTATCTGAAACTGGTATGCCAAGAATGTAAATGAGGGTGATAAGAGAGATTGCATATCCTAACCAGAAAAATTCATTCCATAATTAGAACAACTAAAATGCGCCAACCAGTTGTAGCACGGACCAACACGTATCAATCCACCCCTGGAATCCCAGAAAAACAAGAAAATACATTTCAATAGGAAAATTGTACATATTGTAGAATACAGACCTATTTCCTAATTAGGAAGTATAGCATACTTACATCCAACTTTTGACATAGGAGAATAGGCATAAAATGTGCTGCCGAGACATCATGAAACAAAGTAAAGGTACAATGCCAAAAGAAATATTAGCAAGTACCGCTCACGACAAAAAATCCAAACTGGAAATGATTGATTTCAAAGATGAACCTACAACATAAGAAATAAAGCTACTTTTATCATTTCCTGAAGCAAAATGCCTATGAGAATTGCAAGTTTCCATGAATATTGGTGCCAAAAGCAAAACACAGAGTAAAAAATTGTAGATACAAATCAAATTCATCATACATACCATCCTTAAACTTAATCATTAATATCATTTATTTATGGGCACTCCCCCATTTGGGTGGTTCATCCACCAAGAACCTATTGTCCACAAACTAAACTCAAACTCATATATGACAATGGACAATAAAGTGTGATGATGACAAACAAAGAAAAAAATTGACTTAGAGCATATATTCTAACTTGAATGAATCCAATTTGACTAACTCCGAAATGACTTGACTACATATAGCAAAAACGATATCGAATGGGTGGAACATTAATCCTTTCCCATTGCTTATTTGTTTATCATGAAGATTCATGGAGCCAATTCCAAGTTAGTAGAATATAAGCTCATCTTCTTGTTTTGTCATATAATGGAAGAGATTATGGAGATTAACTTCCCATAATTAGTGCATACATATAATAACGTTTTAATACACAATGTAATTACACATACCATAGATAGAGTCAAATAATAACTACTATTGCTAGAATTGAATCATGATTTTAGACCCGCTTCAAATAATTTCAAATTTCCTTAGTTGTGATAATTATTGCAGATTATTGATGTGTGTATTCCATTCATGAATTAATGCTACTTAATTGTGATATTTTGTGTTTTGATCGTTGTTTTATGGTTTGGATGTCGTGGCCTGAATGCTACAAAAGTTGGAGAAAAGTGTGATGTTGACGAGGCGATGAAATAAATTAAGTGATAGAAGGAAAGAAAGCCAATGAATCAAAGGAGTTTGCCAGAGCCGCAGCGCCAACCCTTTGGCGCCACAGTGTCATCAAGAAAAAAGGAAAGAACCCGAGCATCCTAGCGCCCAGGCTCGAGAAAAGTAGGGGTTGGGCGCCCGGCGCCCCATCCACGGGAGAAGAAGAAACGAAAGTTTAGCGCTGCAGCGCCAGTAACATAATCATTGCGGAACCGCTGTGCTGCTTCGGGGTGTCATCGACAAGACCTAGTTTTCTTATTTTTGGCATTTGAAAAGAACCCAATTCGACTCCAACTCTTCTTGGAACTTTGCGAAACTATAAATACAACCGTAAAGACCAATTTTAAGAGGAGAATTCAACAAAGCAAAGAAGGCAATAAGCAAGGAGTTAATATCAACAAAGAGAAGAAGATTGAATCTCTACAATACTAGTTTTTCTCTTTTCTCCTCTATGTTCTTCATAAATTTGATGGTTTCCATGTTTCCTGTCATATTCTAAACTTCTAATCTAAGGTTTGATGTAACCAAACTTGATATTATATTTTGCTTTTATTTAGTTATTTCTATGAAAATTTTCATTCCCTTTATTATTGTTATTGGTTTAATGCTTATAATTACTTGATCAATAATTAAATGATTTGATGCTAGTCAATTTCGACAAGCAAGAAAGAGAAATTAAGCGCTATCTAAGAATAACACAACCTAAATTTTATAGGTTCCAAGAGAAAGTATAAAATCTTTAGAGCTTGTTCCACCTAAGAACCACAAACTTAATAATTTCTAGATTTTAATTTCGAATAAAAATATTGGAATTGAAGTATAGAAATAGTTTTTACTCGACACTCGAGAGATGCAGAAAATTAAATTAGGTTTCACCTCTGAGGGGTAGCTAAGTGGTCAGGTTTTGGGTTTACTACCCAATGGTCACCAGTTTAAGTCTCCTCAAAACTACTAATGTAACTGTAAACTTCAGGGCTCCGTGGGATTAGTCGAGGTGCACATGAGCTAGCCCGGATACCCATGATCTTAAAAAAAAGAATTAAATTAGGTTTCTTGCTTATAAACTTGAAAAAAATTAATTAGAGATAACCATATAATTGAGAAACATTGTTGATAGTGAGATGAAATCATATCCTAAGCTTTCTCATATTGAAGTATTCCTTCAAATTTACATAATATTGTTGAATTCGTCATCACAATCATTATATTAGATTTAGTTAGAAACATTGATCTAAACATTCATTCATCTAGATAAAATAGAGGCTAAAACAATTATAGTACTTGGTGGAAATTAAATATCAATCCATGTGAGCTCAACATCCTAACTCCATTATTAAGTTACAAAACTTGACAACATAGTGAGGCTCAATCGATCCCAAAATCCAAGAAATAATGCAAGCATATTTTGTCCTCCATTGACTTCACTCTTTATTACTATCTGTAGGAGCCAAAGAGGTTCCATCAATGTGACCCCAAAGTTCTTTGCCTTTAAGGAACATATGAAATTAAAATGCCCACACTGCAGAATTCTTACTTGTAAACTTAGCAAAATAGGTTTCAGTAGACATTCTGACAAATAAAAATAGGCCTAAGTTGACAAAGAAAATAGGCCCAACAGAAATACTTCAATAAAATCAGCAATACGAGAGCCCATAAACCAATAAGGCCCAAAGTGCTCCTTCAAATTCACGAACGACCCAACAGAATTCAGCCTTAAAAGACTGTCCACCAAAATCAGCCACAGATGAAAGACAGTCAATAGCCCAACAAGCAAGCCCACAACACAACTAAAAGAAAACAGCCCAAATCAAATGTGCAATAACCCAATGCCTAATGAAATAATTCACTACCCAAAACAGAAATTCACGATACCAAATGCCTGACAGACCAAATGACGCAGGATGAGACGCTAGAATTATAGGAGAAGGGGAAGGGGAAGGGGAGAGAAGATGAGAAAGGAAGGGGGGAAAGAGATAAGGAGATGGGGGGAGAAATTCAATTTATTTCATAATCAAAGGTTGTCTTATTACAATGCAAAAGAGCCCTTTATATGGGGAGAAATTCAATTTATTTCATAATCAAAGGTTGTCTTATAGTCAATAACCCAACAAGCAAGCCCACAAAACAACTAAAAGAAAACAGGCCAAATCAAATGTGCAACAACCCAATGCCTAATGAAATAATTCACTACCCAAAACAGAAATTCACGATACCAAATGCCTGACAGACCAAATGACGTAGGATGAGACGCTAGAATTATAGGAGAAGGGGAAGGGGAGAGAAGATGAGAAAGTAAGAGGGGAAGAGATAAGGAGATGGGGAGAAATTCAATTTATTTCATAATCAAAGGTTGTCTTATTACAATGCAAAAGAGCCCTTTATATATAGTTTGAAATATTCTATTTTAAGAAGGAAAATATCTAATAAAAACAACTAAATTAAACCTAATTATATTTCTTAAAATACGAATTAAAATTGGAAGCTAAACATAATAATATTCCTTCTAATATTGTCTCACCAAACAAATCCCAATAGCGCAGCCATCACCCAAGAACACAGATCGCCAAATGGAATGCAGATTTGTCCATGCTCACAGCACCAGAATTCCAGACCTCCAAACAGAATTTCTGGAAGTCCACGGTAGAGACGCCGACAATCTAGAAGTCAATAGCCAAATCGAGCAACCAGACGAAGCCGATATCGCCGAATTGGTTCACCTCCTCCATAAAGATTTTGGACAACCCTCACTAAACAAAAATGTCAACAGCCCCAGAACTAATTGCCATCAAACTAAGAGGCAAGCAGATACCACCAACCCCAAGACTTGAATAAAGTTAGTCACTAGATCAAAATTTAATCCTCAATGACTCCAAATACCGAAAAATCAAAAAATTTCTTCGAGAGCTCTAATACCATGTCAAGATTTGGCTAAATGCTCTCCTCATGAGGATCTTTTTCATTGTATAGAAAATTAAATATAAATCAAGATTCAATTCTAGTAATTATAGCTATTGTTTTGACTCTATCTATAGTATGTCTAATTACATCGTATATTAAACAATAATTACATATATACACTAATTATGGAAAGGTAATCTCCATAATCCCTTCTGTTGACAAGTCTGAGGCTAGGAGCACAATAAAATTGATTTTAAGACTGATTTCATCCTAGAACATAAAAATTAGAATATCTAAGAAATACAGAACCTTTGTCAAGCCAAATTCTGTTCTTGCTATTTCTGTGGTTATTAACTTCAAGCCAGCGATCTATTTCTACAAGAAACAATGAAGTTAATTAGCGGAAGCATTCATCTTCCAGGACTAGACATGGAACCATTAACACCTTTAACAAGTTGCATTGAAAATATAAGAACATATTGCACAGTATTAATCATAGAAAACCAAAACAAATTCAAGCAATCCCCTGTTATTCAGGCCGATATATTTTAGTCAAATTAACAAAATTTTATCAACCAGAAAGAGGAAGGCTGCATCACTTGTTAGCATTCTGAAAGGGAAAAACTGATAACAATCACTAGCAAAAACTACACAATATAAAATTAAGCAGATGCTTCCCTCAACAGTTCACATATTCATTCAAAGCCTTCAAAGAAATGCAGGGCTCCAGAATGATCTTCAGAGAGAAAAGCTAATCATTTTAGATCATACTGGTCTATCATAACTGAGAAAGAAACAACAGACAACTGCGATAGAGGTCGCTGCTCTTCCCGGTAGATAGATTAAATGCTATTCATACCAATCTCTATTTGATAGGATTAACCACTAAACCTATGTATCTAAAACAACCGTTTCCACAAACAAAAATTTGAACTCTTCAGTATATTGTCTGCCCTTTCGATAGGGGCTGTCATCTAAAATTTTTCACTGTGATTGATAAGGGGGGCCATTGTACACCATCTCAGGAGCCTGCATGGGAGGTAGAAGACTAAAATTAGGAGCTGAAGGTGGTTGCTGAGGTAATGGGCCCAGCTGCTGCTGAGAGAATGTGGATGGCTGTTGGCCCATTACAAGTGGTTGCTGGACCAAAGGCACCATTGGGTTCACCATATAGGGTGGAGGTGCAGGCGGTGATGGTCCAGGTGGCAAAGGAGGAAGACTACCATAATCATATGAACCCACTATTACACCTGATGGCAGCAAATATTGCTGTGGTAGATTAGAGATGGAATGATACGGAACCTTAGAATTTGAAATTTGACCTTGTATTGTAGGCGGAGTCACCATCAGGGACTGATAAGCGTTATTTTGGGGATAATTGAGTTGTAGTGCTGGCATGAAAACATTTGGATCTGTAACAGGCAGATGGGTTTCAGGTTTCAGTATTGGACTACTAACCCTGGATGAGAAAGAAGCAGATGATGTTGAAGAATTCATCAGCCCAGCATTTTTGGCTTCTTCGGCTGCAAATGTGGAGAGGACAGATGTCATAATATACCGAGAGGAGCTTGAAGCTGCAAGCCTATCTGCAACCTCAGCAGCAATAGATGCAGCAGATTTTCTCATCATTTGTGCTGCTGGTTTTGTATTGGAATCCGATGATACAGTTGATGATTTTGCATCTCCATCCAAATATTTCAGCAGTTTTGTACCTTCGTCCGCCTGTGCCTGTGCTACCTGAAATTAATTTGATAATAATAAATAAATAAAAATAAAAAAACACATTAGCATAATGTTAAAACTGATCAAAGTCCATTTATCTATTATCTCCATTCTGCAGGGAAAAATTGCAGCATAACCAGCCTATTCACTTACTAGCTAACAGGTTCCCAATCTTTTTTCTTTTTTTTTCTATTTTTGGCATTTAATTCCACTAATCTATCATTTCTGCAGCAGCGGGGTCCCCCCCATTGACGGATGTCAAGTATACATGCATGTGTCAGGTGTCATTTTTTAGGGACAAAAATGTCATTACACTTGCGCTAAAAGGTTAATTGCCATCCATTCCAATTCTTTCCAACCGATGCTGACTAATGCCATCCCCCAACCAACTAAACCCCCTAATCAGCGGCAGATTCTCCTATACGGTGGCAGCTCCACCAACCTTAGCCAGCAGAGACTCATACAAGGTGTTCACCAGCATCCACCGTCACCAGATCGTCAGCTCTATAAGCAATAATGAAATATCATCCGAAATTAAACCGATTGGTTTAAATCATCCTACAAACGAGATATCCAGAAAAAGTATAATAATAATGGTATAATATATCAATAAAATAGTGGCGGCAGCACCACCCAACGACAGGGCACTTATTGATAAGCAAAAGGGTTCAGAGAAGGGCTTTGGTTGTGGAATGCATTCTTTGGTATGAAGGAAGAATAGGAGCAATGCCATTTAGGGTTTGTTGATGTTGATGGTGCTCGTATCAGTGTTTCTGGAGTTCCCTTTCACGATTTGTGGTGGTCTGAGGGAAGCCAAGAGCCAAATGATGGGGATAGAGAATGGATTTTTTTTTTTTTTTTTTTTTTTTTTGTTCTGAATATCAAAGAAGGATTTGGTCCAATGTTTAGAAAGCCACAGTTCATTTTTAAGCCTCTGGTGGTGCAAATGTGCAAAAATTGACCGATTGTCTCCCTTTTCTGTTAGTTTTATTTTTATTTATGTCTTGTATAAATTGAGAATAAACTATGATCACAGACACGGACACATGTATTCGACACGTTGTCCATCGGACACGCCGACACGGATTATTCAAAAACATACTACAATGCATGTTGATTAAATTCTTTAAAATTCTTCAATTATATAGCATAAAATTAGTTTTATACTTGTTATTAATATTTCTTTTCAAAATATTTTAAATATGAGTACCTATTTATTTAACAATAAATTTGAGTTAAAAGGATACAATATTTCTCATAAAGAAAGAAAAATGACCATAATTCAAGAAGTGCACGTATCGGCAATGTGCAAACACAGACACATTGCCAATGTGCAAACACAGACACATTGCCCTAGTTGAAGTGTCCGTGTAACACAAATAATAAGGTTAGAATCATCTTTTAATAAGAATGTTGAATTTTTACAGTTAATTATCTATCAATTGGGGAACTATGGAGTCAAATAAATGATAGGTTGGGGAGTAAAACAATAAAAAGAAAAATTAGATTGGGACCAATTTTCTACTAAGTGAACAAGTCGCGGACTAATGTGATAAATTCCTATCAAGCTCTAGAAGGGCCCAAAAAAATTGAGAAGCAGTTAACAATAACAAGTTCTGTTAGATTTGGTTACAAAATACTTAAAAACAGAAAAGGTAGAATGCAATAGGGAGGAAAATATTGCATGGTTGAGCCAATTAGAAGAGCTCTAGGCCTCTCAAAAGTGTCATTTAATTGCTGTTTTCATTTCAACATCAGTTCTTTGCACTTTTAGCAATTCAATGACAATTTATTACTCCACTTTTTCTCACCCAGACTACATCAATTTCCCAGTTACTAAATTGTGTCTAACCGGTCCTTGATCTCCAGATTGCAAGGCATCTCAGAGCTGTACCCATCATTCCATCAACAGAAATTCTAGCGACAATTTTCAAGTTCTTAAAAAATGGTTATCAGAGCAACCATTCTGGCCCTGGGGTATTACCTATAACCCAAGCCCACAATTCCCCTATTTCCCTGTCCATACACATAACCCACCAGGCACCACATCAAACCAACCCAATCAACACCAAATCCACCACCACCTCCATGTTCATTCTGGCCACGACAAAAAGACATCCCTTTAAAACATTGCCAGACATTGAGTTACAGAGCAGGAGGGAAAAAGAGGTTTGTTATCGAGATGATGAGGAATACATTCAAGGTCATCATTGTCGAAACAAGGAGCTGCAGGTTTTGATGAAACAAGGAAAGAAGGGAGTGATCAATTGGAAGTTCAAAAAAGGGATTTTCTGGGATATTCCTCGTTTGTTCATCAGGTATTTGGTGCCTTGCAAAGTGGGTCGGAATGAATTTAATCAGAGGGGCCATAGGACTTTACTGCCAAACAATGAGACAGAAGAAATAGTTTGAGAAATCAATGATAATAAATTTGGATGGGAAGGTGGCTACAAAAAGTGGAAGGATTTTTAGTATCATCAATGGTGTGGAGGTTGTTGATACGGTAGGGTTGTAAATTAATTCGATAGATGCACAAGCAAAGGGAGTCGCGGAGTTAATCAATTATGCTACCTTCCACCATATTCCTCTGATCCGTCGGTTTCATTTTCTAGAAAATTCGAGAAGGGCTACGACCGATTATGGGTTTTCATGGACAATATACTACTCGTAGTTAATCGTTCCACCAAATTTTAAAGGTTGAAATATCCCTTCTCTACTCTTATCATAACTGGAATTGGTCCAAATTTTCACCTTGAGGACAAGGTGAATTCCGGGGGACGAGTAATGATAGACTCCTATAAAGTCTACATACCCTAGAAGGATCCGGTAGAATAGAGAAGCAGATTCAGTAGACGTGTTCAACTAGAGGCAGGGGTATTGTGGGATATATGGTGAGATAGGATGCCAATAAATGTGAGAAGGGGGGGGGGTCTGGGAAAGGGGGAGAAAATTGAGTAGTAGAGAGTATGGGGAGACTAGCCCTCCCAAATAGCTATGCGTTTTTTCTTCCAGTATTGTAGTTTTTCTCAGTTTCATCAATAAAATACAACATTTCATTTCTATTCTGATATTGTTCAACAAATACAGCTGGGGTCCTAACATAATGCTGCAGTTTTCCCCCATCGTGCATACAATGTGTTCCTTTTAAAAATGAATTTACTAATATTCCATCTCAAAGTATTGTCTTCCTTAAAGTCATTGCATACCGAAGGCATAGTAGGAAACACAATGCACACAACGGCATTAATAGACATGAGTGAATAACAGACATGTGGGCATGGTTTTCAAACTTATCATTGTAGCACACAACAAAAACAGAACAAGGGGAACATAGGCATGATCCTTTATCTCCAAAGAAATAGAACATAGGCATGATCCTTTTGCTCCAAAGAAATAGGACATGGGAGAATATAGAATAGAGATTATTACAGCTGGATATTCATCATAGAATAGGGACTCTTATAGATGGATATTCATCATAGAACATACCTGCATCTGTGTCCGAACATTCTCCAGTTCAGATTCCTGAAAATCAAAGAATCAACCGCAAGATATCTTGAATATCAACCCAAATCTTCAAGTTCTGCAAATAAATAGAAAGTAATTCTTGAAAAAAATCTATCATATACCTGCTCATGAAGCGCATCTTGTAACTGAGATACAAGGGCAAATCTATTTGATTCAACAACTTTAAGTTTCTCAATGCTCTCATTCAAAAGATTCTGTTCGTCTTCAATTGTTTTAGCTAAGGTGTTCCATGATGAATCCTTAGCTGCACAACAAATACGACAAGTTTTGATAATAAAAGAAAAAGAACATCATGTGTTTAAACCATGAATAACCTCAGGAAACAACGAGAAGACTGCTAAAAGATTATTGTCAATGCTCTTCAGCAAATTTTATTTTTCTTCTCCTTCAGTGAGAAGTTCCTAAGTATTAACCTTTACAATACTGAGCAAGTACTTACGAGCCTCCATGGAAGACGTAACTTGTCCAAATACCAGCCTACCTTTTTTTAAGACCATGCGGACGTCCTTTTCAAGTTTCTTCACACGATTAACTGCAGACTTGCATTTATTCATTTCTTCATCTTCAGTAGTATGTTCACTGCGCACCAAGTGGAAAGCTGAAAGTATTTTTTCTGCTGTTCCTCCAACAGTCAATTTCTGGTTTCAGACAAAAATATACGAGGAATAAGAACCAAATGATGTTGGTAATTAATAGAAATATTATGGAATTAGACTAAGTTACAGAGATTAATTATAATCCCATAAAAAGACAAGAGGGGCGGAATCTTACCCTTTTTATAGATCGTGAGTCATTTTTAACTATTCTGACAGAACGGGAACGTTTTTTCCCAAACTCTAAAGGTGGAGGCATTTCTTCTCCAAGCATAACATCTTCAAGGCTTTGATTGAGAGATCCAAAAACTCTCCTTTCTTCCCAAATCTTAACCTATCAATATGATGATAATACTGGTCAAGAAATTTCAACTAACCAATCAAGAAGAAATTCCAACTAACCAATCAAGAATCACAATCTTAGTGCCTGTTTGAGCCACATTATTCCAAAAAAAAAAAAATGCATTCTTAAACAGTGATTTGACATCATTTCAACCACACATCCTTCGATAAAATAATATTACACGCAAATCAAAAACTTTTCCTTATTTTTTAACCACACATTTCCCATCAATACACTATTCGAGAATGCATTATTACCAAAATAATGTGGCTCAAACACCCCCTTAATAATGACCAGAAAATAGCTTACCAATCTGGATACCACATTCTTCTCACGATCATTGCCTTTCTTCACAACTTCCTTGAGTGCTGCAGGAAGAACCTTCCAAAACTCAATGACGAAATCATTTCCATTGCGCTTGCTGTTCTGCAGAATATCATTTGCAAGGTACAAAAGAGGTACTTTCTTAGCCATCTCTGAACTATGGAATTGTTTGTCCCATGTTGCAACAACCTTCTCTGAATTACTTTGATGAAAAATGCACCAGTGCGACAATGCTATGGTTAAAGTTAAGGTAACAAAGCATGCCAAAAAAATAGCTAAAAATTAAGTAGTAGAAACTAGAAACAAGGTGCGTGCAATTAGAACCATTCAAGAAGTGATTATAAGAAATTGCTAATATGTTTGGGATCATATAAGATACAAATTTATGCTTATTTTGTTCCAGAATAAAGTAGTAGTGTAGCACTACAAACCTAACGGCAAACTGTGTTGCTCGATTAAATGATGGATCATAAACCCCTATGCAAGCAAATCTTCAGTGCAATCATTCTTACGGTATTGTGATAAAACTAGCCATATAGAATGGAAAAGGAGAAATAAACAACTAATTGAACCTATTAACAAACACATCCAAGAGATACCAGTACACATGCTAATAAAGTAGAAATATATATTTCAAGCATGTCAATAAGATAAGTGAACAACTAATCAGGTAAAACTATTATACCTCAACAAGTAAAAAAACGATGTAATTAGGGAGGAAAGAGAGCGTATTACTACCTACTTGTTCATCATTTGATTAATAGTATTAAACTGGCAAAAAAAAAAAAAAAAACAAGATTTTTGGAAACTGGATAAAAGGTCCTAATATTATAAACACATCACAGACAAAAGTTCGTGTGTACTTAGGCAGACTGCCATTTCTTCCTTAAGTTTTCCCATGTTAAATCCAGAACTCCAAGACTTTCGTTTTTAAGCCTACACGTGATCAAGAGAGATGCAAGTAAAACCCTAGGGCCATCTAATTATAGAAAACCATCAAAGGATGAAAAAAGAAAAGGAAGGATCAACAGCAACATGGAATGCCGCAACAAACCATCCAGTTTCACTAATTATAAACAATGAGACAGCAAACAACCTCAAGGAAAGCAGTATAACAGACACATAATGTATATCATCCAATTCAACCACTTACCCAGCCAAGAACCAGAAAAATCACAAAGACAGAATCAGATCTGCCGGGTCTTTTTTCTTTGACAGACAAGAGAAAGAAAACGAAAAATGCTTAGCAACAATTTTCCGCCAAAACATAAGGAATTCATCAAATATACAAGCAAAACAGTGGAGGATACTTTCAATGCACTGCTGAGTGCTGTTAAGCTTTGAGAGCTTGTCTGCAAGTATCTGTTCACTAAACGCTGAGTTCATCTCACCTTACCAATTTCCCCTTCGCATCTACCACTTGTCGCTTCACAAAACAAAAACGTACATGTATATGTCAATCCGTATCTACGCCTATATTAACATCCAAGAACCCATAAATTAAATTGATTTCAAGAGAAAATCATCCAATTTTTTATTTTCGAAAATGTATAAAGATTCGATTTTTAAGACGACAACCAAAAGGGTTTCCGCAAAATCACCAGATAAGGCAAATGAAGAGAAAGAAAAATTTTGATGAATTGCATTGAAATCAAACAAGAGAAAGAAAAAACAACAAAAAGAAAGTCTCGTATAGAAACTTAAGAAATGGGTTTCGCTCACAAAGTGAAGGGTATCAAAATCAAGATTTCTGCTACAGCAAGCGCCAGAGGGTCTAAGAGAAACCGAGAAAAGGCTTCTTCCTTGATAAATGTTTGAAGTTCGGTGTTGAGAAGATGCAGAGTGGGAATGGGTAATATTAAGAGTATTTGCGTGCTATTCGTTTGCACAGTTTTGCTACTTTAATACTCAGGCGACACCGAATCGCCACTTGGTAATTCCATGTTGGTCGGTGGAAGAACTCTCTTTTGCAAAGGCAGATTTTGAGAATTTGAGTTGGATTGTCCGTTCGTTCAAATTTGGCTTTGGTGGGTGTGGGAGTACGCAACTTTCTGGATTTTCACCTATTTCATGTACAGATTTCCTAATTATTGCACTTTTCTACCTTCCACTAATATGTAATTGGAAAAAAACACAAGCATGAGAAATTTTTGATGTGGCAAAATCTGAGTCGCCTTTTTTTTATTTTTTCCATCTTTCAATGAATGTTTGCCAAATGTTGTCTGTAAATATTTTATGTCAAAATTGTCTGTCAAGAATTAAAACAATAACAGAAACGGTGTTATAATAAGATAGTTGTGAAAAAATATTCATAATATTCCATTATGCAAAATAATTTTTTATCTAATTATGTATTAGTTATCCAATATCCAATATGATATGTACTTTATAATTAATACTTTGTTTGGGAAACATTATAAGGATGTATTCTGAAGGGCTTTATCGAAGTCGGAAAGCATTGGTAGAACGTCAAAACTCTTTTGTTTAAAATATTGTGTATTTAGTTGAAATTAAAAAATACTTTTTGATCAAAAAAGTTGTACAAAAAAAGGGCTCTATTAACAAAAGTTTTACTGGTAAAAGCTCTACTCCCAATTATTGCGTCAAACAAATCTCAAATAACTTGCAATTTACCGTCAAACTTTAAAACTTTAATCTACACATTCACATTTAATACACATATTCACAACTGTTACACACATATTATCCACATATTTTGTGAGATTCATTACCCTTTCATTAAATTTAAGCGTTTAGTTGGGGAGGTATTTTCAAGCGATAAAAGAAAAAAATTGAAGAATATGTAATTATAAAGTAAGAAAAATTTTATAGATCTTATAAAATGCGTAGTTAAAAATAGTTTTGAGATAGAATGATTTAAATCCCAAACAAACATTAATATAGTCTAGATGAAAATAAAATAAAAATAAAGTATATTATTGTTGTTGTTGTTGTAATTGATCATATTTGAAGCTTCCAATGGAGGCCAGGTGGAGGCGCCACGCTCACACGCGTGGCAATCAATTTAACAATAAAGAAGAATGCAAGAATTGCCTTCTTAGTCAAGGCACTATTCCATCAAAGCTCCGCTGTCGAAGTGCTCCCATCCCTTAAACCGAACTCCTTCATGTCTGAGGCTCCCTCTTGTCCTTCGCGATCGAAGTTATTGTATTCTTTAGAGCAGGTTTGATGAGTGTATTTTTAGGAATGGTTGATGTAACTTTTGCATTAATAGATGTCATATATGTCAGTCTAAGAATGTGGGGAGGCTAACCCCTTATCAAATGTACTTGTCAATGTAATTAATGTAAGACAAGGAGATGTAACACTTCAATTAATTAGATGGGACTACGTGGATCTAAACCAACGGTGGCCAGTTCGGTCGAGACACGATAAATAGCAGTTTTTGTAACGTTGTAAAGGATGCAAAAAAATATACATATAAACATACATTATTACTTCCTCTCAATGAATGCTCATTCAAGCCATCCTTTTTATTTCTTGATTGTTCTCGATTGTGAAGACATCACACCTATATTTACGTACGTAATCGGTCTTCGAATCTCCGATTAAATATCCATATAAAGCCTATCGAAAATCTGCTTACGTAGACGTCAACTAAGATTGACACCTACTAGCACATTTTTGGAGTCAACGATTATTATTATTATTATTGGTATATATATTGTTTGATTATAATATCAATTTATGAAGTTAACAAGTCGTGTTAGGATTGAAAATATTTCCTGAAGTTATTTCAATTCTAGTAAAGATTTTTAAATGCATATAAGTGCTACAAGACGGTAAGGTCGAAATTCAACCCTTACAACTCCAGGCAAAAGTAGGATTTCTTTATCTTTATATTATTTTGATTATTTTAAGGTTATTAATAATTCATTTTATTTAATCAGATAATTTAACTTGAAAAAATTAAAAATAAAATAATGAAAGGCAAGCATCTATTGGGTAGCGTAATGGAATTGTATCGGACTAGAAAGGACAGATACTACAAAAGGGAAGGTCATTACTACTTTCAGTAGTTTTTCTCCTAAACTCACATAAGTCACACCTTTTGGTGCCTAGTCACTCATTTTATCGACTAAACGCGCTTTACAAACAGTTAAATAGTATTGATCGTCTTTTTCACGCATTCTTCATATGCGGGGAGCTTTCTTCACATGTAGGTCCACATAAATTTCGTGTTTTTCATGCCTTTTAAAATATTGATTCTACCTATAAAATATGTTCAATCAAGTCCTTTCTTGAATATACTAATTGTGCCTGTATTCTTTAAAACACAAGGAATAATTTACATAGTTCTTAACAAATATTTTTATCTTGAATTGTTACTTTAGAATTAATCAAAACTTCCTAAATATTTGTAAATGGGTTGCTACATTTTTAGCCCATTTATTACTTATGATCCAGTTTTGCCAGCCCAAATAAATCGGGTCATTCGATCCAATTAAATGAAGATTCTGGAATGGTTGAAAGCGTGTTTTATTTTTGAGCATTGGTGCGTTTTAAATGGATGGCTGACACTTGGTGTAATCTGGACAGTTAGATCAGCTGATTGATCGTATTCCATTTAAATGGATTTTCATTCTAGGGTTTAGGTAGATCGTATTTTTGATATTCCTCTCGTCTTCTTCATGTTTTTACTCTTAAATTCTCTCTATAAATTCATCTTCTTGATGATCTATGTAATCTCTTTGTGAGATTATGGTGTACTGAGTGTAATGTATTCTTTGTGAGTGTTTTCTGAGGAGAGAGATCAGAGTTTGAGAGGTTATTTGTGTCGAACCTTTGTGGTTCAGATCTGTAAGATTCTTGCCCATTTTAAGGGCTTTCTTAGTGGATTCGAGCTAAATCCTTAGGGATGCTCAACAGGGATTAGGCGTTAGCGGCAGTCGCTGAACTTCGGGGCTACGACCGAAAAATCTCGTGTTCTTATTTTTACGATTTTTACTTTCTGTTTATAAACCAAAATCGTTTTTACATAGGAAGTTTATGTATCTGGGGCCTACAATGGTATTAGAGCATTTGGAAAATCTTTTATACAAACTATGTTTGAGCTGTTGTGTTCGAAGAAAATCTCAGATCTGAATTTTTTACTTTTCTGTTCTAGAAAATCTTTGGGTCTTTTTCAAAATAAAAATAAAAGAAGCTGGTTCTTGGTGTTTTTGAGTATCCTGTTGTTATATACTTGCAGTATTTGTGAGATCTTGGTACTTAAACGTTTTTGAAAAACCTAAGGTTTCTTCGAATCTCCCCTAACTCTACCTCTGTCTATGGGTCCCTGAGAGAACCCTAGAAACTTTGGGGATTAGGGTTTTGATTCAAGAAACTGACCTTTTTTAAAAATTCATGAAATACGTTTTTTTTATTCTACTGTGAATCTATTGTATATACTGTTATTTGAACTGATACTCGAATGTTGGTCTATTCAGGAACTATAATTTCTTTAGTCTGAGATTATTCTTCTTCGAATGTATATCTATTTCCTTCATTTAACTGGTAGCTTACTGTGTGTAAGTCTATATGTCTTTGTGACTTATTCTTGAATATTAAACAAACTGTGAAATTAGAATAATTTCTGACATAAATCACTGTGATATTTGCTACTGCTTGAACCTTTTGGATTAGTTCATTGAACCTACATACCTGTATACTGATTTTGTCTCATATTGTGAAGTGATAAATGTATACGTAAACTGCATGTATTGAATTCACATTGCTTATTGAGTATAAACATATGTGAGATTATCAATTTGTTGTATACTGTTGTTTTGTTTCAAATCTTGAGTCCCTGTATAAAAGCACTTTTAATGCAATTAATATGTATGAAATCTATTGATGAGTCTTGGCCTGAAACCTTAAATGAAGCTAGGAGAACTGAACAAGATGAATTGGCATGGAGTACCTTATTTTTGCACTTATCTGATTCTGTTATTAGGAAGTTAGGTGACACTGATACTGCAGCTAAACTGTGGGAAGCCTTGGAGAACAACATCTGACTAAAATCCTACCAAATAAGTGTTTTATATGGAAACAATTCTTCAGCCATAAGTTTGACCCTAGTATTGACTTAGAAGAAAACATGGATAGGTTCAATAAGATCACACAAGACCTTATAAACTGTGGTGAGAAAATCTCAAGTGATCAAAAGGTAGTTTGTCTCCTTAATGCACTGGGTGATAGATATAAGGATATAAGGAATGCCTTAGAATATGGTAGGGATGATCTAACTGTTGATATAATTCATAATTCCTAAAGAATAGGGAACTTGAGTTAAGATTAGAACATAAAGAAGCACTTAGTGCTGAAACTTCTTTACCTACTCCTAAGACTAAGTCCAAAGGGGTTAGTAATTTTAGTCAGGCTAATCGCAGCAAGAATTTTCAGAAGAAGAAATGGGGAAATAATAGGGCAAATCTAAGAAAAACATTAAAGGGTATGATAAGAATAGGAAGTGCTACTATTGTGGCAAACCTGGACATCTTATCAAAGATTGTTTTAAAAAGGCTAAAGATCAAAGAAATGGGTCTACTCAGGGTGATGGTCCTTTTGCTAATACTACTTCTCATAAAGAAGCAGGGGCAAACATTGGTGTTGCCTTTGTCTCTTCTTATGAAATAACAAGACAAGATTGGGATCTTGATTCAAGTTGTTCTTTTCATATGTTTCCAAATCTTAGCTGGTTTTCTGATTTTTCAAATCTAAATGAAGGTTTTGTAAAACTAGGAAATAATGAATCCTGTGGAGTGAAAGGAATTGGAAACATTATACTAAAACTTGAAAGTAATCAAACATTACCTTTAAAGGATACTAGATATTTCCTTGCCTTGAAAAGGAACCTTATTTCTTTAGGTACTCTAGATGATGAAGATTATCAGATTGAAATCAATAAGGGTTTTACAAATATCAAGAAAAATCAAAACCTTATCATTAATGCACCTAAGACAAATGGAATCTATTTGATAAGTGCTAAGTGTGTGTCTCCTAATAATGATGTGAACTTAATGACTCAGTCTAATAATTCAGAACTGTGGCATAGGAGACTTGGACATTTTTGGGGA